TGTTTGTGAGAGTGTGTGTGTTTGTGAGTGTGTGAGTGTGTGTGCCCCTGTGTGTGTGTGTGTGTGTGTGTGTGTGTGTGTCCGAGCTCTTACAGGTAAACCGGCTCTATCAGCTGCAGTTGTTTTATAGTTCGGGTGCTTCCTGTTTCCTGTTACTGTGAGGTCATCAGCGGTGGTGTTCGCTGCCGTCAGCAGCGTGCAGCTCCAGGTGGAGTTAACAAGCTCTCTGCGGACTCCAGGTGTGGAGGAACATCACTTTCATGTGTTCCAGGTGTGGTGAACACGGCCCCCCCGGCCCCTCAGGGACCCGCTGCACCATCTGCTCGCTCACTTCCTGTGCCAGCCGCTACTCCCAGCAACTCCTGCAAGAGGAGGAGGGACAGGTGTGACCACGTTACATCACAGTCCGGATCACATGACCTGATTAAGGTGCATGACATCACTGATGCTCCAAAAAACCAACAGAACTCAAACAATCATTTTCATTATCCATCCACCGTCGATGTGAACAGAAAACATCCGTCTGTTCAAGTACTGGATTTAATATTTCTGTACATTTAAAGCTCCAGTGAGTTACATTAATATAATATCTATAGGTTTAATCAGCTGACCATAAGAATCATTGCGTGATTGTTAGAATGAGACGTTTTTATCTACAGAGGCAGCCGCTCCTCTTCTGGCGGAGTCCGCCTTGTTGAACCGAGTTTCTCCTACTGAAGTGAAGGAGTTGCAATCTGCAGCTACACCACTAGATGCCACTAAATCCTACAAACATTTTCAGATAAATTTAAGGAACTGTTCGAAACTGTTTGACTCCCCTGGACGACTTTGAGATATTTAAGATGAACTCTAAAACGTTGTTTTTTGTCAAATGTCCTATTTTGTTTTATATATATTTTTATTATATTTTATATTATTTTATGTACATTGAGGCTCCTGAAATAAATAATAACAATAAAAATATGTCAGTGTTTATTTGATCATTACATTTCAGAGCTGTTTGTTATTTCTGATGTAAAACCTTATTTTATTAAGAACTCTTTGAATTAGTTTAAATACACAAAGATCAGATGATAATGTTGATTAAGTCCTTAAATATCAGAAGTCTCTTCACTAATGTTCAGCTTTATTATTTTAACATGTGCTGTGTGATATTTGAAGGGTTGATTGTGAAATAGTTTTATGTAGTTATTGAGCTTTGAAATGTGACAGTCAGTATTACCTGTCTGTCTGTCAGTTGATGATGTACGGTGTACGGGACAATATGGCTCCTCCAAAAGTCGCTGTGTAATTTGAACCCTTGTTTTAGCTCATTAAACCCTCACAAATTAGTTTTTGACTTAAGGTGTTTTAGGTTTTATTTGTCTTCAGACAGGTGCTAAAAGATCCTACATGGTCCTTTAAAAGCCCATCATGTCCTCCTCGGGTCATTAACCTCCAGACTCCCAAAAGCAATACAGGATCTGATCCTGGTGGCTCCAAATGCAGCTGAATTTATTACGATAGAGAACAGAAAATAATCTGGAGCTAACGGATGTTTTTGATTATTGAAACAAA